TTCTATATGATAGTTAACATTGTGGGAACACCAGCAGTGTTGCTACACTGTTCTGTATGATAGTTACATTGTGGGAACACCAGCAGTGTTACTACACTGTTCTATATGATAGTTACATTGTGGGAACACCAGCAGTGTTACTACACTGTTCTATATGATAGTTACATTGTGGGAACACCAGCAGTGTTGCTACACTGTTCTATATGATAGTTACATTGTGGGAACACCAGCAGTGTTGCTACACTGTTCTATATGATAGTTACATTGTGGGAACACCAGCAGTGTTGCTACACTGTTCTATATGATAGTTACATTGTGGGAACACCAGCAGTGTTACTACACTGTTCTATATGATAGTTACATTGTGGGAACACCAGCAGTGTTGCTACACTGTTCTATATGATAGTTACATTGTGGGAACACCAGCAGTGTTGCTACACTGTTCTGTATGATAGTTACATTGTGGGAACACCAGCAGTGTTACTACACTGTTCTTATGATAGTTACATTGTGGAAACACCAGCAGTGTTACTACACTGTTCTATATGATAGTTACATTGTGGGAACACCAGCAGTGTTGCTACACTGTTCTATATGATAGTTACATTGTGGGAACACCAGCAGTGTTGCTACACTGTTCTATATGATAGTTACATTGTGGGAACACCAGCAGTGTTACTACACTGTTCTATATGATAGTTACATTGTGGGAACACCAGCAGTGTTGCTACACTGTTCTATATGATAGTTACATTGTGGGAACACCAGCAGTGTTGCTACACTGTTCTGTATGATAGTTACATTGTGGGAACACCAGCAGTGTTACTACACTGTTCTATATGATAGTTACATTGTGGGAACACCAGCAGTGTTACTACACTGTTCTATATGATAGTTACATTGTGGGAACACCAGCAGTGTTGCTACACTGTTCTATATGATAGTTACATTGTGGGAACACCAGCAGTGTTGCTACACTGTTCTATATGATAGTTACATTGTGGGAACACCAGCAGTGTTGCTACACTGTTCTATATGATAGTTACATTGTGGGAACACCAGCAGTGTTACTACACTGTTCTATATGATAGTTACATTGTGGGAACACCAGCAGTGTTGCTACACTGTTCTATATGATAGTTACATTGTGGGAACACCAGCAGTGTTGCTACACTGTTCTGTATGATAGTTACATTGTGGGAACACCAGCAGTGTTACTACACTGTTCTATATGATAGTTACATTGTGGGAACACCAGCAGTGTTACTACACTGTTCTATATGATAGTTACATTGGGGGAACACCAGCAGTGTTGCTACACTGTTCTATATGATAGTTACATTTGGGAACACCAGCAGTGTTGCTACACTGTTCTATATGATAGTTACATTGTGGAACACCAGCAGTGTTACTACACTGTTCTATATGATAGTTACATTGTGGGAACACCAGCAGTGTTGCTACACTGTTCTATATGATAGTTACATTGTGGGAACACCAGCAGTGTTGCTACACTGTTCTGTATGATAGTTACATTGTGGGAACACCAGCAGTGTTACTACACTGTTCTATATGATAGTTACATTGTGGGAACACCAGCAGTGTTGCTACACTGTTCTATATGATAGTTACATTGTGGGAACACCAGCAGTGTTGTTACACTGTTCTATATGATAGTTACATTGTGGGAACACCAGCAGTGTTGCTACACTGTTCTATATGATAGTTACATTGTGGGAACACCAGCAGTGTTACTACACTGTTCTGTATGATAGTTACATTGTGGGAACACCAGCAGTGTTGCTACACTGTTCTGTATGATAGTAACATTGTGGGACGAGGTTGCTATGAGTGTTGCTTATTAAAAACAGTGAGATACAGTCTAGACAAGGACACGTGATGACACCGTGGTGGGTATGTGTGGTGGGTATGTGTGGTGGGTATGTTGATCAAGTCTTCGTTCATGGTCAGACTATCTAAAGAACTCGGAGTCAATAAAGTTATAAATAGTTTACTGCCGCTGTTACTTAATATGAATGGGGGCCCCTTACTTGGACCCATTATGTGCCTAAACATGAATGGGGTCCCTTCCCTGGACCCATTATGTGCCTAGATAGTTCTAAACACGAATGGGGTCCCTTCGCTGGACCCATTATGTGCCTAGATAGTTCTAAACACGAATGGGGTCCCTTCCCTGGACCCATTATGTGCCTAGATAGTTCTAAACATGAATGGGGCCCCTTCCTTGGACCCATTATGTACCTGGGCAGCCTTAACGCGAATGGGACTCCTTCCTTGGACCCATTAAGTGAATAGGTAATCCTCACTATTCATTTCGTCACTACTGGAGTTGACCATTTATATTACTCCCCATACTTTATATAATATTCTCACCACCACACAATGATCTCCAGTAGGTAGCCTATATCTGGGTGTTCTGTGGCTTGGTTGGCAACGCACTCGCCTCGGTGACCAGGGTTCAATCCCCGGCAAGGGTGGAAACACTAAGCATGTTTCCTGACACTGGCTGACACTGTCCACCCATCAGTAAGTAGGGACCTGCTGTCCTTATTCATCTAGAGGTAAGTAGATATCTGAATGTTAGTTACCTTACACTTGTGTCACTATTTATCCGGTATTAAGTAAGTAGGTACCTAACTCCACTAGCCACTACCATCCACAGGATGGATATGAGGTACACAATAAACTAGCCCCTACCATCCACAGGATGGATATGAGGTACACAATAAACTAGCCACTACCATCCACAGGATGGATATGAGGTACACAATAAACTAGCCACTACCATCCACAGGATGGATATGAGGTACACAATAAACTAGCCACTATCATCCACAGGATGGATATGAGGTACACAATAAACTAGCCACTACCATCCACAGGATGGGTATGAGGTACACAATAAACTAGCCACTACCATCCACAGGATGGATATGAGGTACACAATAAACTAGCCACTACCATCCACAGGATGGATATGAGGCACACAATAAACTAGCCACTACCATCCACAGGATGGATATGAGGTACACAACAAACTAGCCACTACCATCCACAGGATGGATATGAGGTACACAATAAACTAGCCACTACCATCCACAGGATGGATATGAGGTACACAACAAACTAGCCACTACCATCCACAGGATGGATATGAGGTACACAATAAACTAGCCACTACCATCCACAGGATGGATATGAGGTACACAATAAACTAGCCACTACCATCCACAGGATGGATATGAGGCACACAATAAACTAGCCACTACCATCCACAGGATGGATATGAGGTACACAATAAACTAGCCACTACCATCCACAGGATGGATATGAGGCACACAATAAACTAGCCACTACCATCCACAGGATGGATATGTGGTACACAATAAACTAGCCACTACCATCCACAGGATGGATATGAGGTACACAATAAACTAGCCACTACCATGCACAGGATGGATATGAGGTACACAATAAACTAGCCACTTTACTGGCAAACTATAAGCTGTTATAGGTGGTATCCTAGGAATCCTAAGTAAAGATCTATGGAATCCCGCGGAAATATGATTCAGTTCTTGGCTTTTTGATATTCTGGATTATTATCCGTCCAGGGGTTCTCTGATTACAGTATACTTCATATTTCTTTCCTCCTACCTGCAACAGACGAGAGTATACCTCACACTCAGTATAACAAAAACATTGGTATTAGTCCGGTATATTCTTGATTTTATGTCCACTGATGGGGTGGCTCGGTGGTCTGGTGGCTAAAGCTCCCGCTTCACACACGGAGGGCCCGGGTTCGATTCCCGGCGGGTGGAAACATTTCGATACGTTTCCTTACACCTGTTGTCCTGTTCACCTAACAGCAAATAGGTACCTGGGTGTTAGTCGACTGGTGTGGGTGGCATCCTGGGGGACAAGATTAAGGACCCCAATGGAAATAAGTTAGACAGTCCTCGATGACGCACTGACTTTCTTGGGTTATCCTGGGTGGCTAACCCTCCGGGGTTAAAAATCCGAACGAAATCTTCTTATGGCCTTCTGTACCTGCCCCAGTCTCTGCAACACTGCAGTTATCTTTGCAACACCTGCAGTGTGATTGATAACCTTCTGTACCACCTACAGTGTCTGCAACACTGCAGTTACTATCTCTGCAACACCAGCTGTGTGACGTACACCAGCTGTCATAGAACCATCTGACAGTATTATCGTCACGTTTACTTTCCTCGACTTATTATTTTCCTCACAATACTCTCTCTTTATCTTCAACTTTCTTTTACACAGTCACAATCTCCTGCAACAACTGCAACTTCTCTTCAATATTCACAATCTGTTGCAAGACGCACGACAAGTATCATATCGGTAAATTACTGTATTTTCCGGCATATAAGACGCACAAGTATCATATCGGTAAATTACTGTATTTTCCGGCATATAAGACGCACAAGTATCATATCGGTAAATTGCTGTATTTTCCGGCATATAAGACGCACGATAGAGATATATTATCGCATTTTCCGGCATATAAGACGCACTTCTTCCCCATGGAGTCTTGGAAAATCAGCCTGCGTCTTATATGCTCAAGATCAAGGTAATTAGCCCTTTAATACTACTGATTCACTATTATAATATTTGCCATGCGTCTTATATGCCGGAAAATTTATTTACCGTTATAATACTTGTGGTGCGTCTTATATGCCGGAAAATTTATTTACCGTTATAATACTTGTGGTGCGACTTATATGCCGGAAAAATTATTTACCGTTATAATACTTGTGGTGCGTCTTATATGCCGGAAAAATTATTTACTGTTATAATACTTGTGGTGCGTCTTATATGCCGGAAAAATTATTTACCGTTATAATACTTGTGGTGCGTCTTATATGCCGGAAAATACGGTAATGTACCATTATATTTCTGTGCTAAAACCAGTTACTTTGCAAAAAAAAAAAAATAAAGCATATATAGAGAAGACTTACTTTAGAAGCAACAGTCATGTTGTCTGTTGTTGCTGAGGTAATATTTAATATTACTGTCTGGCCGCTGCTGTTGCTGGGTCCTTGCCTAGCTCCCTCGAAGTGTTCAATGAGGTTTAATAACACCGTTGAAGTTCAATACCTTATCTAACACTCTCACAGTGTTCAATGTGTGTTCTTCTGAGTTCAGTTTTATTTTATTTCCTACCTCGTCACTTTATTTAAAAAATAGTAATCTGAAAACAATTTTATTAACCTCGTTAAAACTGTAGAATAATGAGGCACATCAAAATATTAGGTACGGTACACGTTATATGTATGGTGGAAGGTACGGTACACGTTATATGTATGGTGGAAGGTACGGTACACGTTATATGTATGGTGGAAGGTACGGTACACGTTATATGTATGGTGGAAGGTACGGTACACGTTATATGTATGGTGGAAGTACGGTACACGTTATATGTATGGTGGAAGGTACGGTACACGTTATATGTATGGTGGAAAGTACGGTACACGTCATATACATGGCAGAAAGTACGGTACACACGTCATACACATGGCAGAAAGTACGGTACACACGTCATACACATGGCAGAAAGTACGGTACACACGTCATACACATGGCAGAAAGTACGGTACACATGTCATATACATGGCAGAAAGTACGGTACACTTTATATCTACGGTGGAAAGTACGGTACACGTTATATGTATGGTGGAAGGTACGGTACACGTTATATGTATGGTGGAAGGTACGGTACACGTTATATGTATGGTGGAAGGTACGGTACACGTTATATGTATGGTGGAAGGTACGGTACACGTTATATGTATGGTGGAAAGTACGGTACACGTTATATGTATGGTGGAAAGTACGGTACACGTTATATGTATGGTGGAAAGTACGGTACACGTTATATGTATGGTGGAAAGTACGGTACACGTTATATGTATGGTGGAAAGTACGGTACACGTTATATGTATGGTGGAAGGTACGGTACACGTTATATGTATGGTGGAAGGTACGGTACACGTTATATGTATGGTGGAAAGTACGGTACACGTCATATACATGGCAGAAAGTACGGTACACACGTCATACACATGGCAGAAAGTACGGTACACACGTCATACACATGGCAGAAAGTACGGTACACACGTCATACACATGGCAGAAAGTACGGTACACATGTCATATACATGGCAGAAAGTACGGTACACTTTATATCTACGGTGGAAAGTACGGTACACGTTATATGTATGGTGGAAGGTACGGTACACGTTATATGTATGGTGGAAGGTACGGTACACGTTTATGTATGGTGGAAGTACGGTACACGTTAATGTATGGTGGAAGGTACGGTACACGTTATATGTACGGTGGAAAGTACGGTACACGTTATATGTATGGTGGAAAGTGCGGTACACACGTCATACACATGGCAGAAAGTACGATACACGTTATATGTATGGTGGAAGGTACGGTACACGTTATATGTATGGTGGAAAGTACGGTACACGTTATATGTATGGTGGAAAGTACGGTACACGTTATATGTATGGTGGAAAGTACGGTACACGTTATATGTATGGTGGAAAGTACGGTACACGTTATATGTATGGTGGAAAGTACGGTACACATGTCATATACATGGCAGAAAGTACGGTACACATGTCATATACATGGCAGAAAGTACGGTACACATGTCATATACACGGCAGAAAGTACGGTACACATGTCATAATACACGGCAGAAGTACGGTACACATGTCATATACACGGCAGAAAGTACGGTACACATGTCATATACACGGCAGAAAGTACGGTACACATGTCATATACACGGCAGAAAGTACGGTACACATGTCATATACACGGCAGAAAGTACGGTACACGTCATATACACGGCAGAAAGTACGGTACACATGTCATATACACGGCAGAAAGTACGTACAGTGTACACTCAATATTTACACTACCATATCCACACGTGCGGAAAGGTACTTTTCCAATGTTGTGTTGAGCAGCTACAGTACTACAAGACACAGTATAAGGTAGAGTACAAGGCAGAGTACATGTACTATGAGTGGGCGTAGTGTACACAACTAATACTAGCAACAGACTGGCTGTCTGCTGTCTATACTCCCTGCTTATCTTACCTCCTTCCCGCTCTAAGTTGCCCACTCATCTATTTGCACTTAATTATGCGACTAAACTGATAACTTAGACACATGTGCAACATTTCCGTATCATTATTTTGGAAACGTTTCGCCCCACAGGGTCTTCATCAGTCCAATACAGAGACGAAATGGGTGAGGATCAGGAGTTTAAAGGAGTCAGTCTCTCAGCCTGGAGTCGATAGAGACCATTAAGATTGATGGACTATATTAGGTGGGGACGCACTAAACACTCAGGGGTTATACAGTCCTTGGTTGAAAAGGCAAACACTAGACAAGCCTAGTCCAAGACCACCAGCAACAATAACAACAGCCTGGTTCACCAGACAAGCCTGGTCCAGGACCACCAGCAACAACAACAGCCTGGTTCACCAGACAAGCCTGGTCCTGGACCACCAGCAACAACAACAACAGCCTGGCTCACCAGACAAGCCTGGTCCTGGACCACCAGCAACAACAACAACAGCCTGGTTCACCAGACAAGCCTGGTCCTGGACCACCAGCAACAACAACAACAGCCTGGTTTACCAGACAAGCCTGGTCCTGGACCACCAGCAACAACAACAACAGCCTGGTTCACCAGACAAGCCTGGTCCTGGACCACCAGCAACAACAACATCCTGGTTGACCAGACCAGCACCAGACAAGCCTGGTCCAGGGCCACCAACAACAGCATGGTTGAGCACACCAGCACCAGACAAGCCTGGTCCAAGGCCACCACCAACAACATGGTTGACCAGACCAGCACCAGACAAGCCTGGTCCAGGGCCACCACCAACAACATGGTTGACCAGACAAGCCTGGTCTAAGGCCGCCAGCAACAAGACTACGGTGCTCATCACCAACTCCAAGACTGAGGGACTGATTACCTAATCTTTTGTTTATATCTCTACAGTCTTCACATTATGTCCTGGAATTTGTATTGATAAAACCACTGGTGGGCGAAACGTCTACAAATAAAGATACCCAGATGTTGCACATGTCTCCAATGCTTAGTCATCAAGATACAGGGTCCCTGTGTCATGGGCTGCCATTGATATCTTCTGCCTTTTCTCAGAGAATTTCTTCTATGTGCAACATTGCATGGCTCCTGACGACTCACGAGAATGCGAAAGATCTAGGTTTCCATCCCTATGTGGCTTGTTTTGTATACCACTCACGTACATTCACTGTGTAGTTCCACAGACGATGCTAGGATGTGTACCCGAATGATATATATAGATAAGTTTAAACCTTCAAGCTGATATAACCCTTGTAGTGGACCGCTGACAACAATATCAGTATTTGAGACTCCATTCTCATGCCTCAGCTTCATACTGTTCCAGACCATGGAGTTGAACTCTTCTGTAGGCTGAGGGACTGACCACCTTGTTCCAGACCATGGAGCTGAACTCTTCTCCAGGCTGAGGGACTGACCACCTTGTTCCAGACCATGGAGCTGAACTCTTCTCCAGGCTGAGGGACTGACCACCTTGTTCCAGACCATGGAGTTGAACTCTTCTCCAGGCTGAGGGACTAACCACCTTGTTCCAGACCATGGAGCTGAACTCTTCTCCAGGCTGAGGAACTGACCACCTTGTTCCAGACCATGGAGCTGAACTCTTCTCCAGGCTGAGGGACTGACCACCTTGTTCCAGACCATGGAGTTGAACTCTTCTCCAGGCTGAGGGACTAACCACCTTGTTCCAGACCATGGAGCTGAACTCTTCTCCAGGCTGAGGAACTGACCACCTTGTTCCAGACCATGGAGCTGAACTCTTCTCCAGGCTGAGGGACTACCACCTTGTTCCAGACCATGGAGTTGAACTCTTCTCCAGGCTGAGGGATGAACCACCTTGTTCCAGACCATGGAGTTGAACTCTTCTCCAGGCTGAGGAACTGACCACCTTGTTCCAGACCATGGAGTTGAACTCTTCTCCAGGCTGAGGGAGTGACCACCTTGTTCCAGACCATGGAGTTGAACTCTTCTCCAGGCTGAAGGATTGACCACCTTGTTCCAGACCATGGAGTTGAACTCTTCTCCAGGCTGAGGGATTGACCACCTTGTTCCAGACCATGGAGTTGAACTCTTCTCCAGGCTGAGGGAGTGACCACCTTGTTCCAGACCATGGTGCTGAACTCTTCTCCAGGCTGAGGAACTGACCACCTTGTTCCAGACCATGAAGCTGAACTCTTCTCCAGGCTGAGGAACTGACCACCTTGTTCCAGACCATGGAGCTGAACTCTTCTCCAGGCTGAGGAACTGACCACCTTGTTCCAGACCATGGAGCTGAACTCTTCTCCAGGCTGAGGAACTGACCACCTTGTTCCAGACCATGGAGCTGAACTCTTCTCCAGGCTGAGGGACTAACCACCTCAAATACCTTGTCTCCAAGGTTGATGCCAAGCGAACGATAATGCTTGCCAGATCAGTCGTTCTCTCTAGGCTGGAATATTGCTGTGTACCAACAACCTCCTTCAAGACAATGCAAAATTTAGTCAGAACCTTCACAACCTGTATAAACCAAGTCCAGCACCTAAATTACTAGGGGGTCCTAGAACTGTACTCCTTAGAAGGCAGGCGACTGGAACCAAATCTACACACTGAAATCACTACTTACGAAGACAGGGGAACAATATCACAAACATGATACACAAGAAATAAACCCGGAGGGTTTAGTGTTAAGTGGTTGAACGTGCCCATACTGTGCTCACGTTTCTGCGAGTGCAGAGGTTGAGTCTCAGCTCTTGGCCCCCTGCGAGCTGCTAACCATTATTGTACATATTATAAAAAGGTAACTCTTACAAGTTTACCGCTTCCACAAGACCATAATAATAATAATAATAATAATAATAATAATAATAACAAATAATAATATAAAATAATAATAATAATCTCAGACAAACATAACAAAATTAATCTGTGGTAAGAGATAAAACGCGTCACACCAAACCCGTACGAGTAATATAGGGCCCCCGGGGAATGAACAGGAATCAGTGAGGCTTGATCTAAGGGAACGGAGGCTCCACTTCCCTGGATGAAAAGCACCTGAGTCATGGAAAAGTCTGTCGAGATATTAACTTGAGTTTCAGAACTTTCCTATTGTGACGTCATACGTTTTGAGCGAATTAAAAACTTACATACATCTGCAGTGTGTTGCTACAGTGTTCTGTATGACACTGTGGGAACACCAGCAGTGTTGCTACAGTGTTCTATATGATAGTTACATTGTGGGAACACCAGCAGTGTTACTACACTGTTCTGTATGACACACTGTGGGAACACCAGCAGTGTTGCTACAGTGTTCTGTATGACACACTGTGGGAACACCAGCAGTGTTGCTACAGTGTTCTGTATGACACACTGTGGGAACACCACCAGTGTTGCTACAGTGTTCTGTATGATACTGTGGGAACACCAGCAGTGTTGCTACAGTGTTCTCTATGACACACTGTGGGAACACCAGCAGTGTTGCTACACTGTTCTGAGGACACACTGTGGGAACACCAGCAGTGTTGCTACAGTGTTCTGTATGACACACTGTGGGAACACCAGCAGTGTTGCTACAGTGTTCTGTATGACACTGTGGGAACACCAGCAGTGTTGCTACAGTGTTCTGTATGACACACTGTGGGAACACCAGCAGTGTTGCTACAGTGTTCTGTATGACACACTGTGGGAACACCAGCAGTGTTGCTACAGTGTTCTGTATGAACACTGTGGGAACACCAGCAGTGTTGCTACAGTGTTCTGTAGGACACACTGTGGGAACACCAGCAGTGTTGCTACAGTGTTCTGTATGACACACTGTGGGAACACCAGCAGTGTTGCTACAGTGTTCAGTATGACACTGTGGGAACACCAGCAGTGTTGCTACAGTGTTCTGTATGACACACTGTGGGAACACCAGCAGTGTTGCTACAGTGTTATATGATAGTTACACTGTGGGAACACCAGCAGTGTTGCTACATTGTTCTATATGATGTTACATTGTGGGAACACCAGCAGTGTTGCTACATGTTCTATAGATATTACATTGTGGGAACACCAGCAGTGTTGCTACATGTTCTATATGATAACACTGTGGGAACACCAGCAGTGTTGCTAACATGTTCTGTATGACACTGTGGGAACACCAGCAGTGTTGCTACAGTGTTCTGTATGACACTGTAGGAACAATAGCAGTGTTGCTACACTGTTCTGTATGATGTTACACTGTGGGAACACCAGCAGTGTTGCTACATGTTCATATGATAGTTACATTGTGGGAACACCAGCAGTGTTGCTACAGTGTTCTGTATGATAGTTACATTGTAGGAACACCAGCAGTGTTGCTACACTGTTCTATATGATAGTTACATTGTGGGAACACCAGCAGTGTTGTCTACAGTGTTCTGTATGATAGTTACATTGTGGGAACACCAGCAGTGTTGCTACACTGTTCTGTATGATAGTTACATTGTGGGAACACCAGCAGTGTTGCTACAGTGTTCAGTTGATAGTACATTGTGGGAACACCAGCAGTGTTGCTACACTGTTCTGTATGATAGTTACATTGTGGGAACACCAGCAGTGTTGCTACACTGTTCATATGATAGTTACATTGTGGGAACACCAGCAGTGTTGCTACACTGTTCTGTATGATAGTACATTGTGGGAACACCAGCAGTGTTGCTACACTGTTCTATATGTATTACATTGTGGAACACCAGCAGTGTTGCTACACTGTTCTATATGATAGTTACATTGTGGAACACCAGCAGTGTTGCTACACTGTTCTATATGATAGTTACATTGTGGGAACACCAGCAGTGTTGCTACACTGTTCTATATGATAGTTACATTGTGGGAACACCAGCAGTGTTGCTACACTGTTCTTATGATAGTTACATTGTGGGAACACCAGCAGTGTTGCTACACTGTTCTATATGATAGTTACAT